CCGGCACGGTAAGGGTACGGACTTGAAGAGACGACATTCCTAGATCGGAATTACTTACTCTGTAACGTACGATTTACTGTTCATCAAATATAGATGTTTGAACTGTCACGTCTTGTACCGTTACGGTCACTGCATATTAATTATGTGCATTTTTCACAGTCATACGAGATCTGYTCTATAGAGCCCTTGCTGCACTAATATAAATCCAGCTTAATCCCTCCCCGGGGAAAAGATTTTTAAAAAACCAGTTCAATCCTCGGAAAGGAGTTATGCACACACTGCTGAAACTTGAAATATATTATTATTGTATTAAGAAAAAAACACAATTTAGTCATAATTAGCTAGGTTTGCCAAATTAGATAAGGTTTAGCGTTAGGTGATATTATAAAAAAATTTAGCTTTCTATTCTAACTGTTTACGGATTTTGTAGTTTAGAACTCAATACTCTATATTATCTTTATTCTGAAGAAGGCGACCATGTTACGTCCTATTCACCTCCAAATACAGGAATGAAGTACAGATGCGAATGTAAACCTATCAGGCTTTAAATTATGTTTTAGTCTCGAACAGAATTAATGATTTTTGGGGGGGGAGGGGAGGTTGGGTTACCTTTCCCAAATTTGTTCATACATCTTGCGCTTATGTAACCCGAGCGATACAGCTTATATCACTTTTGATTTGTTCGCTTGCCATTGTTTTTTTTTCCCTGAAAGTTAAAACTTGGTGACAAACATCACCGTTACGAACGCTTAAGCTTGATCACTAGTACTAATGAATTGAAAGTGAAAAAAGATTAAAGACTGAMAGTTATTTGTTCATGTACTATAAAAGTGTTTCTTTATACTTAACTTCCTGTGACCCTTAGAAAAATGACATATTCAGGAGATTCATAATAAGGAGGACAATAAAACATGCAAGAAAGAGCCTAATAAATCTGTGCTTTCAATCTGTCTCGAGCTGTGTTTAATTCGTAATATATTAGGGCTTGACTGTTCCAAAATAAATGCATCATACAAAAATACTGCATTGGGAGAGAGCGATACTAGAAGGAAAGTATACTAGAATCGAAAGCACTGCGTCATATRATGCAAGCATAAGACTGAAACGTCTATGCTGAAGGGATCAAACTGAARTGTTCATGACATTCACTTAATCATAATACAGCTTCCTCTACGATGCTTCGACGTATTTTATGGACAATTCTTCTTGTTCTTCATAAACGTCTTATTACATGTAAGTATGTAACTTCTCAAATACGTGTGACTAGGATGTGTAGTGTCAAACTTGCTCA